TGGCTTTCAGCGGTCAGTAATGCCAAGTTGCTCTTAATCGCCGATTTTTCCAATTCGGTATCGCGGGTTGAAAAGTAGCAGTCGAAGCCGTTTCTTTGGTTCACTGAACTTCTACGCTCGTTCTTTTGATCGTTGCTCAATGAGCTCATTGCGTGGCTCTTACTTTTTTTTTTTGAACAATGCACTAGTTTTGGTTAAGCACATCACAACTGTTATAAAAAGCTTGCCTGTCGCTTTTAGTAAATTGTAGTTCAGCGTCTTTTCGCTTATATTGGGTTACCCCAGTTTTTTGATTAGCTGTATTATGGTACAGTTTTCCCGGAGCTCGGACAAGGCACGTCCACTCAGTTCGGTAGTTCATATACGTATCGATTATAAATGTGTTAAATTATAAATGTGAAAAATAAACTGGACTACGTTTCCCCTGGAAGTCCCACATACTGGACAACAGACTCACGAAAGCTCCCAGACCTTATTGATTTTGCATACCTCGCAAAAAAAACATACCTCGAAATCTAATAAGTGCCAAAGCAGTCTCGGACTTATCATCAGACCACTCGCCTGTGCTTCTAACGCTTCTTCTTCTTCAAAGCCTAGAAGTAACCGACGCCAAAAAAGAACTGGCTAAAATACAAAAAGTACGTGAGTGCCCACATAGAACTCGCCCCGGAGTTTATAATGGAATCGGACATCGACTATACTGCGGCCTGGAAGAGCTACTCGTTGCGGCAGCTAAAATCTCTACTCCTCATGGGGAGGAAGTAGACCGACACAAATACTATTACTACACATTACTATAAAAGCTTGTGCGAGAAAAGAGGCGCACGCGTCGTGATTGGCAGATCACCAGCTTCAAAGCAACGCCTTTAGGAAGCAACCCCATCACTCGACCAGGCCAACACCAACAGGAAGAAAATGGACTGGATGTGTGGTCTGGAAAAGACCACACAATTCCGTCATTATACAGACCAATAGGCCTTCTATTTTGTTTGTCTAAATTGTTTGAAAAGTGCTTGTTAACTCTGGAAGCTTGCAATATTATCCCGGCACACCAATGTAGCTTCCGAAGAATACTGTAGCGCTATTTTTCCCGACGTATCTCGACGTAGCTTTCGACCGAGTTTGGCTTAATGGACTCATACCTCTACAATAGGGCAGTGAAATGGAATCGAAGCTGTAGTTCCACAAGGAACCGCTCTCGGCCCTTGTCTATAGATTTTTTTTCGACTGCGGATATTCTTTCAAATGAACAACTAACAACGTCAACATTTACCGACGTACCGTTATACTTATTCTCGCTAGTCATCTTAGAATATTGGAAAGGATTATCTGACTGTCCAACTGGCGCAGTAAAATAAATGATCAAATGCGAAAAGATGTAACGTTTATCTTAATAGACAAACATGCCCGCCGCTTTCACTAAACGGTATGCAGATCTCTCAAGGCAACAAAGTAACGTACCTTGGCGTTCACCTTGATAAACGACTAACCAGGAGTAAGCACATCGAATGCAAGAAGATGCACTTCAAACTAAAACACAAGCTTACGATCGCCACTATACCTGGACTACAAGGTACTACTCGACGATTCTGTGCTAAAGTCAATCTGGAGGTATGGCTCCCAGCTGTGGGGGAACAGCAGCAATCACAACTATCACTGGGTCACCTTGGTATGTTCGCAACGAAAACATCTACCGGGATCTGGGTATACTCGCAGTGAAAAACGAAATCCAAGAGCAAAAAGTGTCCTACAAAGAAAAAATAACTTCGCATTCAAATTTCCTTGCTCGGGGACTGGTCTACACTATTGTTTTGAAAATGGTCGTGTTGTCCAAATCGAAATGAGGTCGTTCATGAGACAGACTAAGAATGGATTTAAAGAGTTGATCACTGGTTTTCGTAAAATAAATAACCAGCTCTGTGCGCTTGACACTCAGTTTAGCGGCCTTTATCTGCAAACTGAGTCCCCTAAGCTTAAAAAATCCGCTGTTTGTGATCCGCCACAGCCTCCTCAGCCGTCAATAATGCAGCCGCTCATATCTTTGGCCACCCCAAGGGCTAGAACGGAGAACAATTCGCTTTTCGAATTTCTCAAAAAAAATGAGCAATTGTCTGATATGTCCTCCGTGGTATCCCTTCAAGTGATAACACAGGGTATTCCACAGTTCGGACCACCGGCACCGACTGATGCTGCAAGTTTCGTACTTGCGACACCAAAACCCTTACAGGTGATTCCTCCATCGAAACATATATTTGTTTTCGGCTTGCCCCTGATACTTCAGAGATTGATATCTCGGCTTATTTCAAAGCCAAAACAAAAGCCGATATAAAGGTGGAGGACATAGCGAAATTAAAATATAATTAGGTAAGGCGCACTTCTTCTTTCAAGATTCGTGGGCGCGTGCTCTGATGTTCAAGACGATTTGTTAACCTAGTTTTTGGCCAGAGAACATTTTCGTCCAAGAACATAAGCCTAGTTCCGTGAAAAAAAAAGTTTTAAAACCAGTGGGAGTCAAACTTCCCCACATTAGAACCACTGACCAACTTTCCATCTCTTCTTCGTCCACTAACCCAAAATACTAGTATCGTCACCAAAACTTACCTACCTATCACATACCTATTACCAGAATACTAGGTGGCTACGTAGCAAACTCCCCAAACTACATTCGGATAGTTCTTTCTTTGCATCCCATATTATAGCCTTACGAAAAACTTGGTTAAAGCCGGAGATCTTTAGCTCCGAAGTTTTTCCAGTACACCACTTTTAGACGGAATCGACCTCAGCGAGGGGGGTGGAATCCTTATTTCGGTAGACAATCTTTATACATTACATGTTCATATATACCTCCTTCGTCCGAACCGCCCTCATATTAGCAGCATTTTTCCGCCTTTCAATCCGTTTTTAATCTTATGACTGATCGTGACCAGCTCGTAGGTGTGGGCGACTTTAATATCCCTTTAATGACTTCACCGCGGGCATGTTTGACATGTCAAATTAACCACGTTAGAAATTCGTTAGGACGACTATTGGACTTATGTTTTGTATCTGATCCTGATGGTACCACTCTTTTCAGAGCTTTTCCCCTTTCAACCCCAGAGGATCCATATCCCCCACGCTTGACGTTTCAATCGAAACCATTTCTGGTATCGATTAGAAGTTACAATGCGTGGTAAAAAGGATTCACTGTTTCCTTAAAGCTGAGACTCACAAACTTAATAGCCGTATCGACACATTTGATTGGTCCGATATTCTGGCGTGCAGTGATGTAAATGTCACTCTAGAACAATTTTAGATACTTTGACAAATTTTTTGACTCATGTGTGCCATGGAAATATCCTTTTGTTTCAAAAAATCTTCCCTGGTTTACAAGGTGCCTTACAAACTTACAAAATAATAAAAACAGGCTCTTCCTTATTTATAAAACAAAAAAGAAAAGCTAACTTTGGGCGGAGCCCGATAAAAGCGGATAAGCTGATAAAAAGTTGATATACCTTTGCAGTTAAAAACGCATATATATCGCAAACATCGGATGTAGTTGGGCGATCTTTATATCATGGGAATATAATATTACAACCAGTTTTTTACAATACAAAATCTAAAAAAAGTCCCTAGATTCTATCACTAACCACAAAGCACATATAATGTGCTAGCGTTTCGAAGCCAGCGAATACGAATTTTGATTTCTCTAACTTTTTAACTTGCTGCCCTAAGGAAATTCGAGTATTCGTTACTGGGTGAAATGACGGAAGAAATTATATTATTTGTTATATTACATTTATACACTTGCAGAGGGTATTATAATTTTGTCTAACAGTGTACAACGCAGTGAAGGAGACATCTCCAACCCTATAAAGTATACATATTCTTGATCAGGAGTTCTTGATGTTTTCAGAGTTATAGAGTTTAAATTTAAGAACTATTTTTGACAAAACATTACGACATGCCAAATTTCATAAGGATCGGCCGTTTATATCCTAAAGTTGTAATATAACTGAACGATCGGAAATTACCTGACTTTCGTGTTTTGGTCAGATAATCCAACCTACCAAGTTGGATCATTTCCGATCAATCAGTTATATGGCAGCTATAGGATATAGTCGGTCGATCTCGGCCGTTCCGAATTATATACTGCGTGCAAAGGAAAGAAGGGTGTGTGCAACTGAGAGACTAGTTCGCGTAGAAACAGACAGACACAAAGACGGACGGACGGAAAGACGAACATTATCATATCAACTCAGGAGGTGATCCCTATCAAGAATTTATATACTTTATAAGGTGGAAGATGTCTCCTTCACTGCGTTGCACACTTATGGAATTAAATTAAAATAAATTTAAATACCCTTTGCAAGGGTATAAAAACCTGCAGTAGTAAAGATTTTTCAAGATATCAAATTTTTACCGAGCATATTTCTATTTAGCAATGGTTTAATTGCTCTCCCTCTTTCATGCTTATGCATGTTTATTCATGTTTATAAGTAAGGTTATAGGAGGCCAAACAACAAAGCGCCAGCACATAAATACATTCGTTTAGAAAACTATCCCTTTTTTTTCTATTTTTTGTTTTTATTAACCAAAAAAATAATTAGGTGGAACAATTTTGGGATGATCGGGTGGTGGGGGTCGTGTTTTAAGGGGGAGGCTGGACAGTGGGGCAGAACTTAAATCATATAGTGTTGTGGATAACCAAATCATTATCGTGGATTTGTTGAAGAAATTACAGTATTTTTTTCGAAAAACTTAAATAGCGTCGGTCTATTATTTAGTATTTTGTGTATATGTGTGTGGTATTATTTTAAAGTTTTTTTTCTTGCCATTTTCATTTATTTTCAGGGAGATTTCGCAGTGGCACTATCTATAGTCAATTCTGGAATGCAACATTAAAAATTGTGTGAATGCTATGCTTTTAGAATTTTTTCCATTCTTTAAACTTGAACAAATCTTTTTTTGTTAAGAAAAAGTGGTCAAATTTTCTATAATGCTATGGTGGGCAAATCGCACACCTGTTTAACATTGTTGATAATTGTTTATTGTTTTCTTCATTTATAACGGGGCATGGTTTGGGAGCCGCCTGTTGGTTCTTGCACTGCTGGCAGGAGCGTCGTATCCGAACAAGGGTGGACCTCAGCTTTGGTATCCAAAATCTTTGTCGTAGTTCGTTGACTACCGTCTCGTGGTTAGCGTGAAGAAATCTTCGGTGATATTCCTTTATGATAAGCTGCGTAATGTGGCTGCCGCAGGGGAGTACGACGCGGTCGCTTCCCTTGATCATCTTGGCACGTTCATCCAGCTTTAATACTCCATCGGAATCCATATACGGTCCCAGCTTGTATAGTAGGTTATTTTTCTTCAATGGTTTTCCTTGTAAAATTAACCGTATCTCCGTCTGGTAGTACTCCGCCTGAGCGTACGACCACAGAAGACTCTCCGCGACCCTGGTATCTTCTTGTGATGGCTGATTTTCGATGTCCGATCGTTGTAGAGCCTTGGCCTTCCATCGCCTCATACACCATACCGTTCTCGCGGTACTCCATAGCAGACGGGTCCAGATTGAAAACCGCTCGGAGTCTATGAGGGTCGCGCGTCCAATGTCTGTGAATCCGTCACATACGCCGATGAATTGCGCCTTCAATTCCATTCCTGACTCGTCTCCTTCTTCCGCCTCGGTCAGCGGCCAAAATTGCCTCTCTTGCCAAAGAAATCTCGGCCCATTCAACCGACGACTTTCTCGGTTGAAATCAGGTCCTTTGTTCCACTTAGTGGCGTCGTCCGCCACGTTCTCGGAGGAAGGTACCCTCTCCTTCCGAGGAATCTTGATCACACGGAATGCTACAAATTGTTTGTACTTCCTCTGGTCCGATCGCAGCCAACTCAGCACGGTCCTCGAGTCGGTCCAGAAAGTCCGTGTGCTCAGCTTCGCGCCAAGTGAAAGTTCCAGAGCCAACCTCGCTCCAAGCACTGCTCCCATGAGTTCAAGCCTTGGTATGGATGTCGGTCTTAGAGGGGCTACCTTGGTTTTGCTGCCCAGTAGACTGCAGTGGATACCTGCCTCATTTTGAAATCGTATATAACTCACGGCGGCAAATCCATTCTCGCTTGCGTCCACGAAGGTGTGCATCTCCACTTCTGAATCCATCAGCGACTCCTTCATGTGGCATCTTGGGATGGTCATTTTCTCAACGTCCGGGATATACCGAAGCCATCGCTTCCATTTAATCCATTCTGTCTCAGGTATGGGGTCATCCCAGGTACATCCATTTCGCCATATTTCCTGAAATATTATTTTTGCATACATCACGTAGAAGGATATGAGCCCTAAAGGATCATATATAGACATCAACACACTGAGAAACTCTCGTTTGGTGGGTCGTTGCCTTCCTTGGAGAAGTTCTTTATGGTGATATCGTGGGGATTTACGGTAGCGGATGAGATCTTCTTTCGTGTCCCACCACATTCCCAGCACCTTCTCGGTCTGTCCATCCGTTGTTTCGTCTAGTCTCACTAGCGTGGATGCTCCTTCGCCGAGTGCGCTTAATACATCTCTGGAATTCGATACCCAGTTTCGAATGAGGAATCCGCCCTGAAGATGAATGTAGTGGACCTGACGCGCGAGGCTTATAGCTTCTTTCTCCGTGTCGACGCTGCTGGAGTCGTCTACATAGTGATTCTCCAGTATGGACTTAACAGCTCATGGGTATTCCTTCTTGAACGACTCTGCATTTCTGTTCTTCACGTACTGGGCACAGCTGGGGGAGCAACTAGCCCCAAACGTCATTACCTGCATGGCGTAGTTCTCTCTCCGTTGTGTGTATGGGTCTATAAATACAAAGCGTTGGTATCTCTGATCTTCTGTGTGTATCCTGACCTGATGAAACATCTCAGCGATATCGCCGCCGATAGCAATACGTTTCTCTCTAAACCTGTGAAGTGTTGGTACCAACTGCGCTAGTTGGTCAGGTCCCTTCAGCAGCATTGTGTTCAGCGAGATCCCTTCCGTCTTCGCAGCCGCATCCCAGACTATGCGAAGCTTTCCTGGCTTGTTGACGTTTAGCACGGGAAAGATAGGTAGATACCAATATGGCTTTTCCTCAGCTTCTTCCGACGTAATGGGCCGTGCATATCCTTTCTTCACGTACTCATCTAGCTGTCGGCGAATTCCCTTCGCAAGCTCCGGCTCGCGAGTCAGTTTCTGGTACAGGCATCGTGCCCGCTTTAGGGCTGTCGGTAAACTATCCGGCAGCTTGTCATCTTTATACCTCCAAAGCAGACCTGTTTTAAATCGGCCATTTATACGCTTCGTGTTCTTCTCCAGCTGCTGTATAGCCAACTGGTCATCATTGGATACGCTCTTGCTATTCATCTCCGGTCTAGGGCCGCCGTCCGACCACATGCACTGCTCAAGCAGGCGCAAGATCTCCTTGTTCTCGTCAGCTTCACATGCACATATGTGAAACACGTGGTAGTTTGGGGTTATGTCATCACCCACACTGTTGGAGCTTCTTCCTTTGATCGTCCACCCCAGGCGGGTCTTCTCAGCGATCGGTTCTTCTGTTGCGCCTTCCTTGGTGCGAAGCACGCGCCCTAGTTTGCAATTATTGAGACCTATCAGGAGCCTGGGCTGTGCTGAGTCGTATCCGGACAGTGGTAGATGTTGAAGGTGTGTGTGCTGTGCTTTCAGGTGGGTTATATCTAACGACTGTGACGGGAGATCAAGAGACTGGACCGAGTGAACGTCGCGAAGATCATATAGCTTCGTTTGGCCAATGCCGGAGATCCTTAAGTCGAGTCTGACCGAGGTGTCCTCATACCGGTGCATGCCGGCAGTCCACTGCATACATAGAGGCTGCGGTTGTCCCTTCACTCCAAGGTCTTCTAGCAATGGGGCGTCGATCAAGGTTAGAGATGACCCGTCGTCGATGAAGGCATACGTGTTGACTTGCCTACCATTTCCATACAAAGTCACTGGCAATACCCTGAATAGCATTTCCACACCTTCTTGTCGGTGTGCATGGCACCTGGCTTGGACGGGAGCCGTGCTGCCGCGATGCAACAGGGGATGATGGCGTTCTAGGCATCCATCTATTCCGCAAGGAAGGGGAACGCCGCATCTTTCCACCTTGTGGCTCTGGAAACATCTCCAGCACAAGCCACACCGTCGAGTAGCATTCCAGCGATCGCGGGTCGTCATTTCCAGGAATGCTGGACACTCCTGCAGGATTCTGCAATTGCGGGTGCACAGCCGACCGCCTTGGCGCACAGTGTGTGTATGTACCGTGCCCCTTCTCTCCGTTCTTGACGGCGAGCTTGGGACTATCACATGGCTCGCTCTTTCTGCCATCTGCGATAGCCACGTACTAAACTTTGCCTACGTACACACTGTTAGAGAGGCCTTGTGCATTCGTCTTGTCCCTTGTCCCCCTTGTCCCTTGTCCCAAAACGTCTGCACCATCGATGGCAACTTGCTCACTAGCTCCTGCGTGAGCGCTGGATTGTTTAAGTACTGGTCCAACTTGGAGGCTTTCATCGTAGCACAAACATTTTGCACCTCCACCGAGAAGTCAACAAGCATTTCAAGCTTATTCTCCCTCACTTGAGGAAATTGTTTAATCCTTGTCACTAACAAGTCAATGATAATTTCGGGTCGACCAAATCGCATTCGTAGCGTGGCGATTATCTGCGGAACACAGTCCGCATGCAGCATTAGACTTTGTACCGCGTTCTTGGCTGGTCCTTCCAACGCATGCCGAAGTCGCATTAGGTTCTCGGCATCCGTGAATCCGCATAGCTCCGTCGTCTGTTCATATAAGGTTGTCAAATATCTCCCTTCCGCCTTTTTGTCTTTTGAATGTCGCGGCTATGTACGTTGCGATGAATAAGGGCCAGTCCTCCGGCCTTCCGGAAAACTTCACCAACTCAGCCACGTTAGTCTTCCTCGCTGTCAATTGTTCGTAAGATGGCCTGCCCATAGGTTTAGTGACCCTAGCAGCTGAGTTGTCCTCCCCACTGGTAGAAAAGAGCCATGGGGGCCCAGCGTGGGCTCTCTGCGTACTGCCGTTTCCTTCCAGAACGGCAACTTCGCCAATTGTATCCGTTTCAGCATTCTGGTACCGTGTACTAGATGCTCCAGGCATCTTTTCTGCGTGGCCAGTCTCCGATAGCCTCTCCCTTGGGAGCTTGCCCATGAGCGCCTTTCGCCTATGTAGAAGTTGTTGTCGCACCTGCAGCAACTGATCTTCTTCCTCCAACAACCTTAGCTCCGTCTGCAGGTCCTGCGCTTCCTTCGAGGCCTCGTTGACGTTATCAGTTCCGATCCTCATTTGGTCGCCACCTGAGTAACTCTGGTAGTTGTCCCCAGCCGTCAGGCTGGTCAGCTTTTCTGTCCTGATCAACGTCGAGTTCTGTGCATGGACGTCTACGTTACACTCTGCACAGATCCATCCTACACCGCCATCCTCTAGAGCAGCACACTTAGGATGGCACATGCTCACGCAGTCGGCGCCGATGCAGCCAACTGTCACGTGCTCGTCCTCCACTTCACAGAGGAAGCATGTCGCCATCAATCTTCTCAGCGATCGGTTCTTCTGTTGCGCCTTCCTTGGTGCGAAGCACGCGCCCTAGTTTGCAATTATTGAGACCTATCAGGAGCCTGGACCGGATCCAGTAGGCATCTCCATGTTGATTTCGCTCTCTGATTCAAGTATTCTCCAAGAATACACCGGAAAAGAATTTAAAGAAATGTTGCGGGGATTCGAAGTTTTTTAGCGCCGCCCGAGTAAAGACGCCCGTGTATATAATTGTTGATAATTGTTTATTGTTTTCTTCATTTATAACGGGGCAGCAAGGGCTAACAGTGGTACAGTCGGTAACTACTCTGCGATAGCAGCACTTTAAATTCCTAGTAAATTAAAGGTTGTACAATTCATAATCAAACTTAAATATTAATATGTCCTCACTTTTCGTCCGCTTCCCTCGAGTGTCAAATAGAAAAGAAAGCTTAGGCACATGGTTACCGGCTGAGTTAACAGAGATTCAACACCCGCTTAAACTATCGGTTCTGCAACTTCGGCGTTGCCGGATGCCGCGGGAGCAGTTTTGCTATCTATCGTAACACTAATAAATAAGCTATACACTGAAACAGCGGTTGCTGTTTGACCCGACATTCCACCCAATTTTGCGGCCTGTCCACTAACTCCATTCATAAGGGGCAGCGGCCACATCCATAGCTTTCAACGTCTTGCATTGCTGCTCCAGACACTTTGCCAGAGACTCCCCAGTAGGGATGGCGTCTGAGCTTGAGGAATTTTGTCTCTCCTCTCACTTAGCCTGGGTAGCTGGGTCCAACATTTGAAGAAGCACCTAGATAATGATGCAGCCGGCGATCTTATTAGTGGTACCCATATCCTCAAGATTCTCATATAGGCATTCAAATCCTCGAAGACCATTGATTATATAACATTACGACTGTAATCAATTGGAAGTAATTAATAACAGTGCCAGAATTGTATCGCTTAAATTTTTTGTTGCTCGCGGCGAATACCATCTGTCCCACTGTGCGCTGAGAACCAACCAAACCAAACTTCTAGCCAGAGTTCAATGGATTTAATTTAATGGACTTCATTCATTCATTTACTTGCTAATTACTAAAGGTTTATTTCTGAATGGGTCAGCTGGAATCTCTCGTGGTTTTTACCCTATTTTTCATCACTACTGCGATCGCCTTCCTTTCTCTACGACTCTTCTTAAAAAACTTCTGTACAAAGGGGGACGCCCCTGGAATGCTGGGATCAGCATGATATTCCTTATATTGATCTTGAACTTCCTCAGATTTCGTCGTAGTGTAGATTAATATTGGCAATGGACATACCTTGGACAGCGATCTTTTATAGGTTCCAGAGGTCTTCAGTAAGTCATCGCGAACTAGTCCATCTTCTCCAGGATGTAAATCGGTTATTCGACCCATCTTTCATTCGTGTGGGGGGTGCCGGTCATCCTTGATCACAACTTAATCATCAATTTGAGATTGGTTCGTTCTTGGCGCCATTTCGGACGTACTTGTAGATGTAAGAGCCCGTCTGCGCTCCATCGATGCCAAAATTGTCTTAGTAGCCGTTGACCGTCGACGAAGCGTGCGTTTATGGACTTGACTCCAATAAAGTAAGTGGGGACAGATCGTTTGGATCTGGTGATAAGGGACAGAGTGGACGTGAGTTTAAACATGATTCGATCGGAATGAGCACATTGGATTGGTCTTGGTAGTGGGTTTGCAGGAACGATACAGATAAATTTTAACGGGCTTAATTAAATTATTTTAACTTAATTTTTTAAGTTTCAAAATCCTAGTTCCCTAATTGTGGGGGACTGTAAACGTAAAGCCCCCCACAGACCCTCAAAACTAGGAAACTAGGATTTGGAAACTCCTTTTGCCAGATGCGAAGAGAGTTGACTGCTCCGATGAAATTACTTGCACAAACCTCTACGTTCAATTAAACGTTAAAAAGCCCAGAAGACATTTTAAGTAGATAGTCCTGTGATTTCTGATCACGAGGTCAGTAAGATAATGCGTTTTGGGTGAAATGATCGAAGCTTTCTGTGCTTGGGACAGTTGTTGGGCGTTCTTTAGTCTTCCTTTGATTTGCATAATCCCAAAGTCGTCTAACTAAGCTACTTTCTGTAATTCTCGTAGTTCTGCGACTCGAATTGCGCCCACATTACAAAGTCCTTGCGGGTGGCGTAAGTTATGCAGATACCATTCGACGTGAGCCATAACGAATAAAAATTTGTTATATCATGAATAAGAGTCATGAGTCGTACAGAACAAACACGTGCCAACCAACGTCAGGTTGTCTTCTTTCTTCGTAAGGACGGTCAGGGGGATGAGAATAAGTGTTCATAGGCCACCGATACTTAACTTCCACTGGCTAGCTGGTGAGGCGTGACCCCTTGAAGCGCAATCGGCTGGGTTTTCTCCCGAAGGTACATGTCGCCAATGGGCTGTAGTACTTTTTTCAAAGTACTTCGTCCAAAATTTTGTCAATTCGGTTAAAGACGAAAGTCTTCCAACGTGTCGGATATTCTTTAATCTAATATGTATAATGGATGCAAAAGTCCAGAAATTAACGGACATGGAAAATCTGCTGGATGAAAAATGTGTTTGTACCCAACACTGCTTCAGAGAGTTCGATTTGAGGAATTGTTATTCACTTAGTTGGTGTGACTCGACTCCGTTCTGCCAATAGGGCCGTGCTCACTCTCCCGGTTTGATATTGTATTCGAAGGTAATCAAAGGCGTCGTATGCTTGCGAGGAGCTGTCACAAAAAGCGTTTAGTTGTTTTGACTGTGGTTCAATTGGTCACCAGACCGGCCATTGGGGAATTTTAAACTTTTCAATTTTTGGTCGGAATAAATGCTGCAGGAATTCTTCACAACGGAATTGAAGAATTGACTGTATTGTAACGGGCCGTCCCGCATTGTCATCCTGGTGCATGGTAATACATCGAAATATCTGTTGGATATTTGCTGCAAACACGTAACGTGGAGCCTCTATTTCATGATGACTTCTCCTTAATCATTTTGTAGCGGTGGGCCGATGCATAATATGCCATTAAGGGATTTTCCGTTCGATGTGGTACATGATGCATCGTATACTACACGTACTTTGGTTGTCGGGCTGTCCTCCTTTACCACGGCGTGGTGTGGGAGAGTACATGCTGAGACCATTGTTTTTTTGCTGTGTACTTCCTGTCAGAGCTGATTTGATCGAGATCGAACAATCCCTTTACCAGAGTATCCAGATTAATAGCATCGAATAGTTGCCACATTTGCTCTTGTTTCATTTCTATGGCCAAACATGATACAACCTAATTGAGTGAATTGAGCAATAGGTTGATTTGGAGAATAAACTGGAATTGGCCAAGTATAATTAAGATGTTGACAAGTGTCCACGTTGACATTGCTTTTTGGTAAATGATCGGTTATCGAGTTGAAGACATATGCGCTTCGCACCAGATGGTGAAATTGAAGGTCCGTACATGAGCCTATAGAGCTTAAAACAGTGTAACGAAGTCTATAGGTGTTCTTTGAGGTATCACTGATCAAGGTGATCTGTAATGATCTTTGAGCTGTGACTCGGTGACGTGGAAGTCTTAGTAACTGAGTGGCAGGCTTGGTAATTAAAGTTTCCTCAGAGCCATGATCGATCATTTTTTTTTTTTTTTTTTGCGGTCTTTTAGAATTTTTGATATGGCTTGTGCATCAGTTTGAGCATCAGCTAGCATTCCTGTATTCATCATAAAGCTTAGAGGCCCAGACGACCGAGAGGCGGTCGAAGAACGATTAATTAGTATATGTTAAGCTTATTGTAATTTATTCAGCTAGGAGGAGCTAGTAACGAAATTTGAAATTCTATACTTTATATTTGAAGGACAGAAAAGAGATGTTATGGAGTAGAGACCCTTGCAGTTTGAACATAAGACCCTAAAAGGGTCGTGCTGTACATATGTCGAACTACAATGGCTAAGGAATAGAGGACTAAAGTTTCTAGTCTTTCTATTAGAAATGTTTAAATTTAAGCGTGTTAGTAAATGCTGGCTATCTACATCCCCCATAATTTGGTAATGCAGAAAAACTACACCGAGCATTGTCCTACGATTTGTTAGGCTAGGTAAGTTTATAAGTAACAGTCTACTATTATAAGATGGAAGGTTAAGATTTGCATCCCAGTTTAGACCTCTAAGTGAAAAGTTAAGAAATTCTTTTGTACGGATTCTATTCGTTCCTGATATACTTCATATTGGGGACTCCAGACACATGAACCGTACTCCAGTATCGGACGGACCAAAGAATTAAATGGCTAAACACCATTTTTGAAAGTCATCAAGATCAGACTGTAGACTGCATTGGACAGAGATGGATTTGTACTGAAGAAAAAGCTTTACAAAAGGAGTGCTGAGCTTGGGCTTAGCATAAGGCACAGTAAACTCCAATACCAATGCAAACGAGAAAGGAAAGCTAACTTCGGGCGGTGGCGAAGTTGATATACCCTTGCAGTTAAAACCGGATATATATCTCAAACATCGGATATAGTTGGCCGATCTTTATGTGAATATCATAATAAAACCAATTAATTACAATAAAAAATCTAAAAAAAAAAAGGCCCAAGCTTCTATCTTCAAAAATACGAAAGTTGGTATTACCAAATAATACTAAATACCATTTCCGATCGTTCATTTGTGTGGCAGGTATACGATATAGTCGCCCGATCCTTATGAAATTTAGTAGGTTGGATCAACTGTACCAAGTTCCAGATTTCTATCATCAAAAACATGAAAGTTGGGTCATTTTCGATCGTTCAGTTATATAGCAGCTTCAGAATGTAATGGGCCGATCCTTATGAAATTTGGCATTTTTTTCCCAAAAATAGCCCTTGTGTAAAATTTGAACTCTCTAACTTTAAAGCAGTGGTGGACAAACTCTCATTTTACATAGCACGCGTGTATAGGGTAGGAAATTCCTGCCGAAACCCTGCCGAAACACTGACACTGTGAGCACTCTCAAATTTTTTTTAGAAGCTCTCTCATTTGCTTTTATTTTGATTCATGTGACAGCCAAAACTTAAAAATGAAAATTTTTCGACTGAGAAAAATTTTCTCAGAAATTGGGTTGGAAAAAGTTTTGTCCATAGAAATTATAGATAGAGAAGCTTAGCTTTTCATTTTTTAAGAAAACTTGCCAGCAAAGCTTTCTTTAAAACAAAATACACTATTTTAGCGCCCATGCCAACTTTTGATTTAACGAACAATTAAATAATAAACTACGTTTTTTCGCTCAGTGAATGCTCTGCTCTTATTGCTTTTCTCTGCTACGCATACACTAAAATTTTAAACATGTGTGCGTTTTGCCCCCCACTGCTCTAAAGACACCAAAGTAATACCTATTTCGATCAATCAGTTATATGGCAACTATAGGATATAGTCGGCTGATCCCGGCCGATAAAAAATTGTAGTATCATTTTTAATGGATATCCCAGGTACCTGGGATCAAGCTGCAATTGCATCGTTTCGGCTGCCCCGGAAAGAAGGCAGTGTCGTCTGCATAGGTTACTGCGAGCAGGTCAGGCCTCTGATGAACAGGGAGGTCGGCCGTGTAAGCGTTGTACATCAACGGGCCAAGAACGCTGCATTGGGGTGCACCAGCGTGAGCTTCTCTTATACTGGAGATGGCCTCGCCACATCTAACAGAAAATTTACGGTCTTCCAAGAACGACTTTAGGAACTGGAAGTATGGTCGGGGTAGGCCAGTCTTTAATTTATATAGAAGACCGGGATGCCAGACTCGGTCGAACGCCTGCTTCACGTCCAGCATGACGGCCATGCAGTACTTCTTGGTTTCAAATGCGTCCAGGATGCACTGCACCACCCGATGGAACTGCTCTGGGGTACCGTGTCGCCGCCTGAACCCAAACTGGTGGTCAGGGATTAGTCCAGCCTCGTCAAATACTGGCAGTGCTCTGCTTAAAAACACTCGTTCCAGTATTTTGGAGAGCATTGGTAACAAACTTATTGGTCGGTAGGACGAAAGATTCGCTTCGTGTTTCCCGGGCTTAGGTATCATAGTTATCTGGGCACGTTTCCATGTGGACGGAAAGTACCCTCTCTCCAAGCATCTATTATAGATCTTCGTAATTAGCTAAATGCTTGGAGGTGGTAACATTTTTAATGCAATTGCATTGATACCATCATCGCCCGGGGCCTTGTTGTTGCTCATGATGGTTATGAGCTCAGCTGTTTCCTCCTCAGTACTGGTCGTATTGGATCGGCGTCCCTGGAAGGCTCGGCTAGCAGTGGGGCAGTTTCAGCAGCATCCTCCGGTGAGCAGCGATCGAAAGGCGTAAAGACACCTTCGTGGCGTTTGGCGAAAGCGTTGGCCCTGTCCATCTCCGATCTGCACCAGCTGCCGTCGGT